CTGGGGACACTGCTGCGCACATCCTAGCTGGCAGTTAACATCCAGCCCAGAGCCAACCTGGGATAAGGCCCAGGGCCCAGCAAGAGAATCCGGCCTGGACACACCCCTGCTGTGGCCCCCACGAAGCAAAGCAGTGACAGAACCGGCTCCTCTGTAGAAGCTGTAGACTGCCACAGCAAGGGTCCACTGTTTCCCTCCCAGTAGGCACACTGGCTTAGAAGTGCCCTTCCCGTGGCGGCTCACCCTCAGCCTATGCAAGGTCCTGACATCAAGGCCTTTCCTTCTCAGCGGGCATGCGGTGGTCAGTTCCCGGCAGTTGTGCAGGTGCCTGTCTCCCAGATACCCTCTCTTTCAAGGACCCCCATGGCTTTAGGCTCCCACGTGGGACAGACAGAATCTGTGGGCAAACTAAGGAAGGCAGTCCCCAGACGCTCAATCCCGAACGTCAGCGGCGCCTCCCTCGCATTCATGCACCTTGGCTGAATGTGGCCCAGGCCTGGGCGCCAGCCAACGCCTGCATTCTCCGGACTCTCCGCCCGCCTTCTCCACCCTCTCCCCGGCGGACGCAGAGCCGGCGCGGAGACCTCACCTGCTGTCCCTGCAGCCAGGCGGCCACCGCGGGGTGGCGCTCCGCTCACCTTCGCACCCTCACCCAGCGCCTCCGGGCTCCACTGGCGTCCGCTGTGCGCTGCGTGCCTCCACGCGAATGTGCCGCCGCCGCCCGCCTTCTTGTTGGCCGCACCCCCGCCCCGCGCCCGTCCCAGCCCGGCGAGAAAGCCTTAATTGGTAAAATCGCCCAGGAGCCCGGGACAGGGATGGGGGAGGCGGCGCCCCTTGAGTTCGAGGTACCCGGCCGCCTGGCGACGCCGCCCCGCATGAGCTCACCGCCCCACGAAAACCGCCAGGCCCCAGGGAGGGGGGCGCACCCCCAAAGCCCAGGAAATGTACAGGGCCCACCTGCAACGAAGCTGCATGGCTGAGTTTGGGAGAGCCAAGCGCTCCCCAGCTGGAAAGGCCCAGCTCCGAGGCCACCTTCTCCAGGGAGCTATGCACCGTTAGGGTCCCCCCATCATGAAAGTGACCCAAACCTGGGCTTGCCAGGCAAGCTGGATTCTGCCCCCCTGGAGGGGGGGCAGGCTGTTGCAGGTGTTCACTGAGCACCTACCACCAAAAGACTGGACTGCAGAGACCAGAGCACTGCGATGCACAAGCTAGGCCAAATCTGTTCTGGAAGCCGGCAGCACAACTTACTAAATTTCCACGAGCAGGTTAAGTGCCATCCGAAGTCTGGAAGCACTCGGCAAATGTCTCTGAACCGGGTGGGCACAGCCACGCCCTGGCACTGCCAGACTCTCTTCCTCTTCTATGTGCCCATTTCCTGGTAGCTTCAGATTCAGCTCAAATGTCACTTCCTCAAGGAAAGCCATATAAAGCAGTGTCGTTTTCTCATTTTTCCCAGAACCCCCAAGAATTACATTTTACACCTTGAGCCAGTATGCATGCGCTGTTAACAGCTCCTTGTACACAGATACTGAAAATTATTTTCAAGTTGACATTTTTTCCTTATAACATTTTTTTTTTTGAGACAGGGTCTCACCCTGTTGCCTTGGGGTAGAGTGCTGTGGTATCATAGCTCACAGCAACCTTAAATTCCTGGGTTCAAGCGATCCTCTTACCCTCAGCCTCCTGAGTAACTGGGACTATAGGCACCCACCACAAGGCCCAGCTGGTTTTTCTATTTTTAGTAGAGATAGAGTCTCACTTTACTCAGGCTGGTCTCAGACTCCTGAGCTCAGGCAATCCTCCAGCCTCAGACTCTCAGAGTCCTGGGATTACAGGTGTGAGCCACTGAACCCAGCCTTCCTTATAATCTTCAATCTTAGTAAGATTGCAAGTTATACAATACTGTACACTGTTTAGAAGCTATTCTCCATTCTTAAAGAAGCTCAGTTTTCTTATTCTTGACTTAGAATTGGCTGTACACTGTCTCCTCTGCTTGCCCTCCCAATAAGAACCCCATGTAGATCCTCATTTCCCTGTACACACCCTTCCCAGCTCCTCTGATAACTGCAACCTCCCTACCAGGGAGCTCTAAAGCCACACCATCCCTCTGAAGACCAGTTCCTAGCTACAGGAATGTTTCATGAATGAATTGCTATATTCAGGGCCCCTGGACAAGTTTCCTCTGACCAGGGATCCTTATTCTTCCTCAGATCGGGGGATGGGTGCAGAACCTCTTGGCTCTGATGGCCAAGAGCTTGCCTGGCTTCTAGTGGTCTGAGATGGAGCTACACTGCAATGGAGCTGGACTGAGACTCCAGGTACCCATGGATACATGCACAGGACCATTACAGTTCACCTTCCTGGTGCCCTCTGTGGTGGGACCTCATCATGGGGCAACCAGTTGGGGGGCATAAAAGGCAGAACGCTAAGGCAGGTGAGGGGGATGGGTGTTCCTTAGGGAGAAGGCAAACCTAGAATTCCTTGACCTCATAAGGAAACAGCTTGGATCTGTATAGGGAGGGTGGCATGGGGGAAGGCTGAGCAAACACTGCACACACAGGCCTCTGGGAGAGGGGCCAGGATTGCAGAAGGCTTGGAGAAGTGCTGGGGAATCTGATTCTGTCAAAACTAAAAAATCCATGAGGCAGCCTGAGCAGCCTGGAATCCCAACTGCCAGCCCCTTCCCAAGGCTCTCCTGCCTCATACTGCCATACGTGGTATCTTCGAGGACTTCATATAACCTCCTCCCATATTGTTGGGGACAGACCAAGGTCTTACCTTTGCTCTAAAACCTAGCCAACAGTAATTCTTGTTCATTAGGGTCTTTGTGGACAAAACAGGGCCCCATCTCTACCACCTACAGAAGCAAACCTCCATGTACAAGGGGTATGTGACACTCAGTTGGACCAGCCAGCTTGAACCTGATGAGAGTCCTCCCCTCTTCCCCTGTCACCTGCCCTCATTTGGGAGACCAAAGATGGTACCTCTTCTTGCTCCTAGGTCTGGGCCTAACCAGTGAGGGACTCCCTGGTTGGTCACATACTCCATTAGCTGGCGTTGTTTACAGTATGACCATCACCTCCTTTCCAATCTCCACAGAATATCCCCCCCTTTTTTTGAGACAGTCTCAAGCTGTTGCCCTCGGTAGAGTGCCATAGTGTCACAGCTCACAGCAACCTCAAACTCTTGGGCTTTTTTTTTTTTTTTGAGACAGAGCCTCAAGCTGTCACCTTGGGTAGAGTGGTGTCATATCACAGCTCACAGCAACCTCCAACTCCTGGGCTCAAGCGAGTCTCCTGTCTCTGTCTCCCAAGTAGCTGGGACTACAGGCGCCCGCCACAACGCCCGGCTATTTTGGTTGCAGCCGTCATTGTTTGGCGGGCCCGGGCTGGATTTGAACCCGCCACCTTAGGTGTATGTGGCTGGTGCCTTAGCCACTTGAGCCACAGGCGCTGAGCCCAAACGCTTGGGCTTAGGCGATTCTCTTGACTCAACCTCCCAAGTGGCCAGGCGCAGTGGCAGGCGCCCGCTACAATGCCCAGCTATTTTTTGTTGTAGCTCTCATGGTTGTTTTAGCAGGCCCAGGCGGGTTTTGAACCCACCAGCCCCGGTGCATATGGCAGGTGCCCTAGCCGCTAAGCTACGAGCCTTATTTTATTATTTTATTTATTTATTTATTTATTTTTGCAGTTTTTGGCAAGGGCCGGGTTTGAACTCGCCACCTCCAGTATATGGCGCCCCCCCCCCTTAAAGATAGAGTCTCATTCTCTCCCCCTGGGTAAAGTGCCCTGGTATCATAGCTCATAGCAACCTCAAACTCCTGGGCTCAAGCCATCCTCCTGCCTCAGCCTCCAGAGTAGCTGAGACTAGAGGGGCCCGCCACCATGCCTAGCTATGGGTAGCCCTTTCCTGATGAAGGCCCTCGCTGACTCCTAGCCGTAGACCAGGCTCCTGCGCAAGCCAGAGCAGCCTTCCACGGTTTGCCACTCTCGCTACCCCGCCCCTGCGGCCTCTGCACGCAGCGCACGACTACCTCTGCCTGTGCCCACTGGCGTGCCCAGGTCCCTTCGAAGCCTGCTTGCTCCTGGAGCGCTGGCGGCCTTCTGGCCTAGTGCCCCATTTCCTCCCATGTAGGGCGAGGGAGGAGGAAGGATGGGAAGAGCAGAGGAGGCGGTGGGAAGTAGCGGGCGCAGGTGCGCAGGCGAGGTTCCGCGCAGACAGGGAAGGCGGGCCTGGGCCAGGGGGTCTGCGGGGCCCTGCCGGGCAGCCGCTTCCCCCGTGTTGCGCGCGCAAAGCCCTTCTAGCGGCCTGTCAGGGCCCGCGCTTTCCGAGGATTCGCTCATAGGATTCGGCCCCTGCTCTCTGCTGCCTGGGCAGCTGGGAGGTCGGGGAAGGGGGAAAACGGCAGAGCGCCGGAGGGAGTGTTGCAGGGAACGGGCGGAGCTCTAGCGACTCAAGGACTAGAGCCGTCCCAAGAACGCACACTTTGCCGATTCCCATTCCCCGCCCGGCTTCTCCCAGTTCGGCTCGCGCAGGCCCCGCCCCCTTAGCGTCTAACCACAAGGCTCCAGCGTGCGACGTCTGGGATCGTCGGCCCCGCCCCGCTCCCACGCCCGGCCCGCCTTTGCTGTTTCCTGTCGCCCGCAGACCCCGCCCCTCTCTCTGGCCTAGCCCAAACACGCTGGCGTGTGACGTCTGCGCCAGCCCCTTCCTGGGCGCGCAGCCCCTCCGGTTCCCACGACTAGAGCGGTTTGCGCCCCTTCGACTCCAGCGCGGGCCGCGCGCCTAGTCCACCTGCAGCCAATGAAGTACGCTGGTGACGCTTGTGCTCGCCAAGCCGGGTCCCCAGCGTGCAGCCCCGCCCCGCCCGCTCTCCAAGCCAGACCGGTCTGCGCCGGCTGCTCCGTGCGGCTTGGCTCCGCCCCGCGCAGCACGCGCTTCCTGCAGAGCCCGCGCCTGTGACGCGAGGGTGACGTACGCGTGACGCGAGCGCAGCCGCTCCCCAGGCGCTCGCGCTGTCTCCGTCGCGCTCTGAGGTAGCCGTTGCTTGGCTTGTGTCGCTAGGCTCCGGCCTCTAACCAGGCCTTTACCACCTGCGCCGCCATGGACGATTACGCGGTTCTGTCGGACACCGAGCTGGCTGCCGTGCTGCGCCAGTACAACATCCCTCACGGGCCCGTCGTGGGTACGCGGCGGCGGGCGGGACCCCTCCCGGGACCCGCTCCCCGTGCTCCGCCCTGCGCTCCGCCCCGCGCTTACCCCAGTCCCTCCCTGTGTCCCCCTTCCCCCGGTTTCCCCCCGACCGCGACCCGCGCCCCTGACCGCCCCGTGTCTGGCCAGGCTCCACTCGCAAGCTATACGAAAAGAAGATCTTCGAGTACGAGACCCAGAGGCGGAGGCTGTCGCCTCCCAGCTCGTCGGCCTCGTTCTCCTATCGCTTCTCTGGTGAGACCCCCCGCTTGACCGCCTCCGGGATGGGGTCTCGGGGCTGTTGCAACCTGCTGGCCCGGATGTGCGCTGGAAAGGAGGGAGGGAGGGAGGGACGTCTGGGGCCCAAGTGGTTTTCCCTTCAACTCAGACTCGGATTCGGCGTCGGTGGACTCAGACATGTACGATTTGCCCAAGAAGGAGGATGCTCTGCTGTACCAGAGCAAGGGTAAGCCAGGCTGGGGTGGGTATCCTGGCATCTTCACCCCACTGTGTCACCAACCCCAGGCACAGGCCGACCCTGAGCCTCAACCCCACCACTCCTCAGCCCCAGAGAGGAGGCCCTGAAATGGGATTCAGATTAGGGCCATCGGGCCAGGTGGGGGACTCCTATCCCTCCTCTGCTACCGCTGCCCCCTTCTTAAGGTTATAATGATGACTACTATGAGGAGAGTTACTTGACCACCAGGACTTACGGGGAGCCTGAGTCTGTGGGCACATCCAAGGGCTTTCGCCAGCCTGGGACTTCAGATGCTGACACCTTCCACCACCAGGTGAGCTGGCTGACACGCACCCTCTACTTGGACACAACCTAAGGGATCATGGCTGGGTTTGGATGAATCCAGGGTACCACTGGGTGAAAATGGTGGCTTCTAGACCTCCAGGGAGACTTAGGGTCAGCAGACATCTTTTTGATTGGGGCCCTGGTTTGGGAGTCATCATTAGAGCGATTTGACTAGACCATGTGGGAAATGCTGCACTGTGGTCTGAGATCTAGGGTAGAACTCTTTCTGAGCACCCCGGGGGAGAAGGGAGGATGCTGGGGCACAGGCCCATTGATTGATTTAGCACAGGTGACAAGAGTCCATACACCAAAGGCCAGGAACCCAGAACTGTTGAGGGGAGGAAGCTCTGGCCTATAAGCAATGATCAGAGTGGCTATGGAAGCTTGGACTGTGGGACACGGCAGTGCCAGCCAGTCTCCTTACCCCACTTCTCTTCTGCAGGTGCGTGATGACAGTTTTTTCTCTTCTGAAGAAGAGGGCAAGGATAGGTGAGTAGTGACCAAGGCCTAGGTCCATGGGCTAGACCTGGGCCCAGGCTCTCTTACCTCACCTGTTCCTTTCTTTTATCACAGGGAACGCATGTATGGCCAGGATAGTGCCTACCAAAGCATTGCACACTATCGTCCTGTTTCCAACATCTCCAGAAGCTCCTTGGGCATGTCCTATTATCCTGCATCCTCCTCTGCCTCTTCTGTGTCCTCATCTTCATCTTCCTCTCCTTCATGGCTTGCCCGCCGAGCCATCCGGCCAGAAAAGCAAGCTCCTGGGGTTGCTCTGGGCCAGGATCGCCAAGTCCCACTCTGGGGGCAGCTGCTCCTTTTCCTGGTCTTCGCTGCCTTCCTGCTCTTTGTTTACTACTCTATGCAGGCTGAGGAAGGCAACCCTTTCTGGAGGGAGCCCTAAGGGTCTCGGCTTTGGAGCCAGTTCTTCTTAAAAGTCCTGGCTGACTGCCTTAGCAGTGTTTGCTGGGGGTGGGGGGTGGGGACTTTTCTGTGTGTTCTTGCTTTGGGGGATGGGCCTAGCCCAGGGCAGTGCTTGCTTCCCCTGCCTTGTCCTGTCAGGAAGGCAGCAGACTCAGGCCCTCCTAGCTATGGTGGACCTGGCTGTGCCTTCCTCTGAAGCCTCCTGGCCCTGCTTCCTCTGACCCTTAGGGCCTGGGAGAGCAAAACCTCACTCCTACAAAGGAAAATGTGGTTGTCATGCATGCCTCCTGTTCATTGTTATCTTGTTAGGGAGATTAACCAAAGGCTACCCTAACTTGTTTTTGTGGACACACAATAAAAATACTTTATTTTTAATGTGTTGGTTCTTTCTGCTGGGAGAGGTGTTGGGATCCCATGGCACTGGGCACTGGGTCTTGGGTTTCAAGGATCACCATCTAGCTTTGTTGGTAGTATATTTCCGCTTTAGTCTAGGGGTAGGAGTCAAATAGTACCCATAGATGTTTATGTAGTTTGTGAGTTTTATTCCCTGATTCATTCCCCAAAGCACTTCTAACTACCTTATAAAAGTAACTATGGTACAACAATATGTGGAGAGAACACCTTCGAAACATAGGTGAAGCTGCACACAGTACCCATAACCTATCAGTGTTTTCACTGGGAAAGTCACAAGTCAACTTCAGTGTCCTGAAGACAGCAGGATGGAAAGGAAACAGGGCATCTTTGTGGTGGCTGGTTCCTCAGCCCTTCAAACTGCTGCTTGTTTAATGACATGGGGAAAGCTCCAAAGACTGAACTGCCCATTATCTCTGGACACTCAAAAATTCTTCGCCTGTGGGGCGCCAGCCCCATATAGCAGAGGTGGCAGGTTCAAACCTAGCCCTGGCCAAAAATTAAAAACTGCAAAAAAAAAAAAAATTCTTAACCTGTTTATAGACTTAGTTCCTAGGCTTTCTGCCTCTGGTATGTATTTCACGGTCTCCCAAGGTTTACATGTGTGTTTTGTTTTGTTTTTTTGAGACAGTCTCACCCTGTCACCCTGGGTAGAGTGCTGTGGCATGATAGCTCACACCAACCTCAAACTCTTAGGCTTCAGTGATCCTCCTCCCTCAGCCTCCAAGTAGCTGGGCCTATAGGCATTTACCACCATGCCCCGCTAGTTACAGTAGAGATGGGGTCTCACTCTTGCTCAGGCTGGTCTTGAACTCCTGAATTCAGGTGATCCACCCATTGTGGTCTCCCAGAGTGCTAGGTATGTGTATGTCTTGTTCTGTTTTGGTTTGTTTTTTTGAGACAGTCTGATTCAGTTGCCCTGGGGTTGAGTGCTGTGGCATTATAGCTCACAGAAATCTCAAACTCTTAGGCTCAAGTGATCCTCTTACCTCAACCTCCTGAGTTGCTGGGACTACAGGTACCCACCACAATGCCTGGCTAGTTTTTCTGCTTTTTAGTATTTTTATTTTTATTTTGAGACAGAGTCTGTGTCACCCTTGATAGAGTGCTATGGTGTCACAGCTCA